GATGGCAATTGGCACATACAAATTTATACTGGTTCACTCTTAATGCAAGAACTGTATATGGTTCCCTCTTAATGCAAGAATTGTATCTGATTCCCATGCTGCATATTTCAAACTATGTTGTGGAAAAAAACAAACACTAACAAAGGCCACATTTATAAATCGAACATGCTAAAACAGTTTTGAATGTTTTCAAATACAGATTTAAACGACAAACATAAAAGTCATATACTCCTTGATTTTTCCTTGGGGATTGGTGAATCTTTCATTTACATTGTAGGCGACGGTCATCATGCGTGCAAGATCAATGGTTACGTGATAGTTTGACCCATCACTCTGAATTGTTTTAGCTTTTTCTTGTTCTCTATTCTGTTATAATTATTTTCTATTTTAAAACGTATTTTAATTTTACCTTTTTTCAATATCAAAAGATGAAAAGAAAGAATCATTTTTTTTTTTATGATAATGGTTATATCTCAACGAAAGGTACCAAACTTATTGATTTTTTACTACAAAATACTGTTTGTGAAATATTTTAGTGTAGTTCTACATACTTGTAAAAGTTAAAACTATATAAGGTGTCATAATGTATATATTTTTGATTCAGATCATCATTTTCATTGAATTTATTATGAGTTCTTAAACAATTCAGAGTGATGGGTCAAACTATCATGTAAACCTTCCATTTAAAGTAGCCCGCTACTTAAAGTTAAATATACGTTTATGGATTCCTTTTTAGGTCAAGAATACTGTATCTTTTTTTGGTAATTAAAGAAATCAAGTTTATTTTCTTGAGGTTTTTTTCTAATCACATAAGCTGCCAATGGCATATATCAAAATGCAGTTTTGTGTTTTTGTTGTTGTCGTGAGTCAAAGAGGATTAGCATTAGAAAATGAAGATATCTGACAAATTGGATACCATTTTGTAGTGTTGAAATAGATTGAAATGAGATTCACACATAGTTTTTTGGTTTCTCAATTCGTAAAAGCTTTGAAAAAGTTTGGAGAAGAAGAAGATGAAATTATATTTTCTTGCTAAAAATATAACAATTACACATCTATTATATTTATAGAAAACAAGTAACAACGAACCTCTAAGCAAATGACACTTTTTCTCTAAACACATTGGGGAGAATCGAAATGGTTACATAGATCGAGCAATTTCTACTCGTCGTGTAGTACGATTGTTTCAGATCACTAGTGAACTCAATGATGACAGCTGAAGGAGAATGTTCTTTGTTTAACTCTCTGTTGTGCACAAAAGTCTTTACTTTTTGTTTGAAGACGTATGTTCTGTATAATTTTGTGAGAGGTGATGCCAAACATTTTGTTTGAGATAGACTTTGCTGCCTTAGAGTTAATAATGAGTTGTAAAAATCGTACCACAGGATTAGGAGGAATTACCCTGATGAATAAAGGTTTTGGTCGTCTACATATGCTTAGAGGACAATTTTCATTTGCATAGAGGATTCGTTGTTTTCTATAAATGTAACAGCTCTGTAATTGTTATATTTTTCAGAAAGAAAATTTCATCTTCTACTACTTACTTTAGGTTATATTACTTTAGGTTTCTTTTTCAGGGCTTTCAATATGTAATCCTGACAATTCTCTTCAGGGTGATGACTCTTATCAGTCCATCACAAACCGAATTCTATTCTTGTGTCCATTTATAATTTTTTTTTTTTTTTAAATTGTTGGTATTGTGTGGGAGAATTCTTTTCTTAAATAATTGTTTGATTTAAAACTGGTTGAAAAGATAACTGATACTTTCATAAATAGGAAATGGACAAAATATTGTTTAATATAGCAGAAGGTTGATTATTAAATCCTATTCACTTTTAAGTCAAAGAAAAAGCTTATATATGGATGTTTCAGATATAAGAGAATGATCAATTTTGGGTGTAACAAGTGGTTGTATTGCTGACATATACCAAACAATAATATGTGTTACTAATATGTACTCCCTCTGTTTCAAAATATAAGGCGTTTTATAAAAACTTTTTTGTCTCACAATATAAATCGTTTTCAAGTTTCTATGCAAATTATATATTACTTTAATATTTTGTGATTATTTTTATTATGCAGTTTTTTTTATGATTGGCTGAACTTTTAAAAAATAGAAATAGATCTTCTTAATCGACGTGTTTTTAGCTAAAACGCTTTATATTTTGAAACGGAGGGAATAGTACATAGTTCATTTTGTAGCTAGCTTAAAATTTAATTGTATCGGTTTAGTTTGGTTGAATATTCAAATAAATGCACCAAAAAGAATGATCATTCCATTTCTAAACATAGCCCTTTATGGGCTTCTCTTACGCCCACAAATTTAGAAAGAGTCTGTGGGCCTCAACAATCCCACGTTCTAGCATATCCATTAACCACGTATTGGTTGACAAACTGGGAGTTTTATCTACTCCAAAAGGGCATCAGTCTAGTGAGTGATTCCTAAAGATAACAATAACATATAGTTTCATCTTTTTTCTGAAACCGGATTTTCATTGATCATTTTTTTTTTTAACATATTAACAAGCGTTTCTGTATTTCTATGAATGAAGAATAACTTGGGCAGAAGTGAAGTTTACAAAGAAAAATCCAAAAATGCATTAGAACAGTTAACTTGGACAGGTCTAATGGTTCTTATTTGAAGAGGAGTTGCCATACAAATCTAGGCTAGTGATCTAACGCACAATTATCTAATCATTTTTTATTTGGCTAGTTGAAATGGTATCGTGTTTTTAAGTCCATTAAAATCTAGTGTATGAATTAACTAGTCGCCGGTTATACTCATCTTAGTCGCATATTAATATTATTTTGACACATTAGCATAAATTTGCTATAAAATTCTGCCAAGAGCTACTCGTGTCTAGGCTACAGATATCGCCTGAAGCTTGGCACAACTTCTTGGATTAAATGGACTACAGTAGGCCATGGGCAAAAGTCCCAGTTAAGAAAAAATTGTCAACAAAAAAAAATATTTAAAAATATTAATAAAGTAACATTTTCTACGAAACCAAGAAATAAACATACATCTCGTTAATTTCACTTAACGTTTTATTTGACACATTGTTACACTCGAGCAAATATTTATATTAGTAATTAAATATGAACAAAACAATGGACATATCACATATATATGTCTATGTATGTCAGTATGTGTTATATATATGTCTGTGAATATGAAAAATGATAAAATAAATGAGTAGATGTGGTGTATGTGTGTATACATTATATATACGTGTGGGTTGTATATGTGTGTGAATATGTGAAAAATGATTAAATGAATGATATGTCATAAGATCTTGTATAATGGATGGTTGTCCATTGTTTTGTTCAGCAAAGACAACAGATAGTGAAGGCAACCCATGTGCATGTACACTGTCATCATGGCCACCATTATATTACCATTTCGAAAACCTTATAAGTTGTATTCTTAATTACGATAAATAAATATAGCATAATGCATTGTTATTGGAAAAGAATGATAAATAAAACAGCCGTCAAATATATATACAAAAATCAAAATCATCTGTTTTTTACGAGATAAAAAGGCTCTTATCATAATAAGTAACCCTAATTAGATAAGTGGATAATTTTCTGATTTTATAAACAAATCAATTTATTTTGAAATTGTATTTGATACGTACAGAACTATAAAAAATCATCGAAACATAATATACGTCGTGATCCATTGAGGTTCGTTATTTTTCTCTTATTTGATGTGAATTATGAGTGTAAACCATGTTTGATGGCGATTTCCTAGTTTGATATAGATATTGAGGGTGGGATGTCTGTCTTGTACTATAATTAATTATCTGTAATCATCTTAATTTAATAGATCTTTTTGTTTTTTAGACAGCCTAATTTCTTTCAAACAGCTAAGCCATGTGAAATACTTTCCTTAACTTTTCAGTTTGTTTTAATTATTTTGATCATTCGGTTTCAAATAATAAACTAGTAGTTTAAACTTTCAAACCTGATCAAAATAGTTTCAAACCTATTTTGATTAAAATCGAATCCACAATTTGGGTTGCTGCGAATTTGATTTTAGTCTAAAATTGGTTTAAAACTAAAAATATCCTTCCCTTAGAAGGATGGACCATTGAAGAATTATTTTTCTTTTATATTTATATTTGATTTATAAAATCAATTCAGCATAAAAAACAAAATATTTTGGTTTTTTTGTATCGTAAAGTTTCAAGTTTTCCACACTTCCACACTTCAAAAAAAAAAAAAAAAAAAAGTTTTCCACACTTCAGTTTGGTAGTATTAATTTATCTATTTTTGTCAAAGTTTGCTTTTAGGAAAAAATGTATCTTTTCATAAAAAAAAAAACATATAGATCTTCAAAGAAATTGAATTTGTTTTTCAACTTTTTATCATTTGACTGACCAAAAAGAGTTTAAAATAGAAAAATAGAACTGAAATCTCCTTAATTGAAAGTTTTCTCTTAGACTATAATCAACATGATTTTAAATATCCTAAACACGTTTCAGTCTAAGAGGAATTTGATATTGGTGGACGTAAGGATCTTATAATAAGTTTTCAAATCATCAAAAACTAGAAAGTTAGATTGAAGAAATCAAAGCCAAAGAAATTCGAAGTAAGGTTTATAAAGAGTTATTTTGTTTTTGTTAAAAAAACAAAAAAAAAAGTTATTTTGTTTTTTCGTATCTGCATGGTTTTTTTGGTTGGTTCGGTTGAACCAAATTTAACACTTTGCATAAACCAAATAGAAGTAGTAGACTAGACGACCTACGCCAATATCTTTTTTTTTTTTTTTTTTTTTTTTTTTTTTTTTTTTTTTTTTTTTTTTGTCATAGACCTACGCCAATATCTAAAATATAAAATTAATAATCAATTCACAAATTAAATCTATACCGTATCATGTATATATGTCAGCAATCTAAAATAATCATTTTTTAGTAAGCACCAAAAAAAAGTCATTTTTTAGTAATTTAATCGAGGATAATCATAATCCAACTCAAGTATAATCAAATTAAAGTCTAATAGATCAATGAAATATCTCTTTCAAAAAAAACAAATAGATCAATGAAATAACTAAACATAGTAATATACATTGGTTAGTGTTAAACAGAATAATATACATTATAATAGTATGAAAATTTTGAATATAATGAGATAAGAGGCGTATATGTTACAACTACAGATCACCATCCACAATTAACAATCCGATTGGTGCGGGCCATAGTTTCGATATTTGCCAACTGTGATTGATGTGACTGCCAGCTGGCATATTTTCTCCTCCTGATTACGTTTTTACCCTTTCCTCTTCTGTTTCACCGTTATTCAATTTTTACTATTTGTACTGCTGTCTTTGACCCTTTTCCGGTACATAGAAGAAAACCAAAACCGACAGCACAATCATACCGAAATCATACGTCTTCATGTAGTCGTAACAAAATATTATTTTCCGGTTAAATTCGGTTTAATTCATTGAGATTGTGTTAACCGAAAACAGAAACGGTTTTGACGCCAACGAGGCAAGAGGGGTAAAACGAGAAAGAGGGAATGGCACAAATCGTAATTAATAAGGAAAATTAGGGGTGGTTTCACGATAAGTCTGTCTATATGACGCGAAAGGGTTTCTTAAATTCAGAGAGACAATTAATCAGTTTCGTGTGTTTGGAGAAGAAGAAGAACAGATCAAATACGAGGAGAGATCTCTAAAGAGATTTATCGGTTCAAGTAAGTCTCTTTATCAAACTCATAATATTTATAAACAAATCAAAACATGAATACGTCGTTCGATTCTAGATATACGATTTTTTTAATTCATGCTTATGAACTCTGTTTTGTTACTACTAGGGTCGTTCGATTTTTTTCCGATAATCTATAGAGTAACAAAGTTTGTGGTTATATAGATGCAGAATATGTAGTAATTGTATACATAATTCATGTGTTTTTTTTTAATCTCAATCGTCTACGTTGAAACCTATATAAGAAGTTCATCTTTCAGAGTGAAACTCTTTTTTAACCGATTAGGTTAGGTTTCGATTTAGAAAATACGATTAACATAACAGATTTTTTGGCATGGCAATTATTATCTCCAGGTTTACTTTAGGTGGCGATGAAAAATACCAATATAAAACCTATCTTTAGGAGTAGTTAAGATTTTGATTGAAGAAATACTATTACGATAAGCATAAAATTTTCTTTTGCTGTTCTTGGTTTTTGTCGTTTTGTAGAACATTGAATATGTACTTTTGTTTTTTTCACCAGTAGATATGTACTATAAGTAACATGGGTATATTATATAGAGAGATATTTGATATTTTTTTTGTATATTTCTTTTGTTGAAAATAAATTTGTGAAACATTTATTGTCCTTTGACAGATTCGTTCGAGGAAAGAAGGTTAATTTAGGTTAAACAACAAAAAAATGGGATACTGGAATTCGAAGGTTGTTCCAAAGTTCAAGAAGTTATTTGAGAAAAATAGTGCTAAGAAGGCTGCTGCTGCTGAAGCTACCAAGACCTTTGATGAGTCTAAGGTATGTATTATTATTCACCTAATTATTCTGTTAATTATGTAGTTATAGGTCCCATGACACTCCATTATTTGATCATACGCATATCAAATATATTTATTTGCGGTTAGGACTTAGGAGTATATTTTAATTATTTTTGTTTGATTCTTTAAAGAAAAACGATAACTACGTATTAATTGGACTTTAGCGCTTTAGGTTTTTTTGTCCTGCAATAGTTATCCACTCAAGTGATATTTATTGGTAGTAATTTATCACGAAAATTGATTTTTATACGTGTTTACGTATAATAGGAAACAATCAACAAGGAAATTGAGGAGAAAAAGACAGAACTCCAACCAAAGGTCGTGGAAACCTATGAAGCCACGTCTGCCGAAGTCAAGGTCCCTATCTTCTTCTTTTTTATTCTCCAAGTTACCATTAAGTATTCAAATCCATTATTTAGTGTAATAAAAATTAAAACGGGCAGGCTTTGGTGAGAGCCCCTAAGGAGTCTGGTTTGAAGAAAAACTCAGCGGCTGTGCAGAAGTACCTCGAGGAGCTTGTCAAAATTGGTAAAGATTCAATTACGCTATGTCATGTGTCTATATTAATATATACCGACAACAATATATGCTTGTCCTATATATTTATCTTTTTTTTTGTCTTATATATCAAATATTTGCTGGCATAAACTTTGGATTCTTATCATGTCTTATAATATTCTCATGCGCATGTTATATCTCAAGTTTAAACAAACTATTAAACATATTACATCATTCTCATATTGTATCAAATCACTAGTCGCAAGTTTAATACGCCATATTCACTATTGTTGATGGTCCACAATAGTGGTTTACATGTACTCTATGGTTTATTTATATATATGCTCTTGCCTAAGAAAATTAGCTGATTGGAAAACTTAAGATTATTGTTGATCAAACTTCATTATCTTTTTTAGAAGACGTTTAGAGATTTATTGGATCACTGTTTCTTTTGCATGCTTGAATTCGATGAACGTTTTACTTATCTGTGTGTCAAATTATGAAATGTTTATTCAGAATTCCCCGGATCAAAAGCGGTGAGTGAAGCTACGTCTAGCTTCGGAGCTGGCTATGTCGCAGGACCGGTCACATTCATATTCGAGAAGGTATGTGTTTTCCTCCCGGAGGAGGTGAAGACAAAAGAAATACCGGTGGAGGAAGTGAAAACCGAAGAACCAGCCAAAACTGAAGAACCAGCCAAAACCGAAGAACCTAGTGGTGAGAAAGAGGAGATTGTTGAAGAGGTCAAGAAAGACGAGACCCCTGAAACCGTGGTCGTGGAGGATAAGAAACCAGAGGTAGAGGAGAAGAAGGAAGAAGCTACTCCGGCTCCGGCGGTGGTTGAAACTCCAGTTAAGGAACCGGAAACGACGACAGCGCCTGTGGCTGAACCACCAAAGCCTTGATTTGTTTTCAAGATGGTATGATTACTTCTCCTGTATGAAAACATCTTTGTACGTAACAAAAATTTGAAAGGAAGAAACGGAAAGGAACAAAAAAAAAACTTAGTTTCATTCTTTCTTTTTTTTTAAAAAAAAAAATTTTAATTTGGTTTGTCTTTGTGTGGATAAATCTCTTCTGTTTTTTTCTTTTATTGGAAAAGTCTTTAATGTGTTATTTATTTATATTCATGTGAATTTGTAACAAAATTATTTTGTGGATGTGTATTCTATAGATATATTTCTTGGTTTCAACTTTCAACCAAGCTTATCGGATCAAAAACGTTCGGATATATCTTCAAATCAAATTAAATTACTTATCCAATAATAAGGCTCTTCAATCTCGTTTTCCTCATTTCGGTAACATCAAAATGACCTCAGGTTATTGTACTTGCAAGATTTTTAAAAGGTTTTTTCATCAATAATTAGCAAATAAAAAGTTTGAGTACAAAAACACTAACAATTGTTGCAACAAAAAGAAATCTGACCACGTCGTTTATATTACTTTTAAATAGTGGATTATCACACTTAATATAAATTTTAGATTTATGTTTCTCAGATACGTGATTTCTAACAACTATTGGTGAAAATTTCGATCATATTATTTGTTAGTTATCCTTTTAACAAAAATATGCAAAATATTTTATCTATAAACCCAATTGGGATGTGTTTAGGTGCACGTGAAATTTGATTTGTCTTGCATAAAGAGGAGAGCACATAGGATTTGTTTAAGATGGTTGATACGTGCAAGTAACAAGGGACCTAAATTGCAGACCAAGAAACATATAATATAGATACAAGAAAGTTTTTATTTTCTTAATTCAAATGAAGTGGTAAGCAACTTCAACTTATCTCTTTAATCACTATCTTCCACCTTAGCCTCTGGAATTTCTTCTAATTATTTTAGCATGTTACGTAGTATTGCACTAGTGTCCCAAACGGTAGGCCTAATAAGAAATCAAATCACTTTCAATGTTAGAATTTTAAGGATTTTCATTGTTTTGACTTTTGACTTGACCAATTCAATTTCTTCGCTCTTTCTTTATTCCAAATTTAATCCATCTACCTTCAACAGAAATCGAACGCATGTGCCCATCGATTTTGTAACTGAACATATATATACCGGATGCGGAACCAAGCTAAACCAGAACCGGTTACCATGTTCACCGTCTAAATATATAGCCGCATCACGAACTTGAAAATGTTTTACTCTCTGTCCTCACTCCCTCTAAACCAATTTCTTAGTGATCAAAGAGTTTTGAATTTTGCGGTCTATAGTATTTTTTGACCGGAAATTAAGTAGTCGTCTACTTTCCGCACCAAAAAAAAAAAAACACTCTCCTAAATTTGAAGCTTTTCCTTCTATTTGATTATCAACAAATACTGCCTTGCGGGTTACATATCTTTCTTTTTCAACGGAGATTACTAACCAAAAATTCTCGAAAGAATTTAAAAAATTCTCGTTAATGGTCCCATTTACGGCTTCAGACCAAGCCAAGGCTAATTCCTCATTTTGCTATATTTATCTTTTGGGTTCGGTATGTAAGTGACATTAAACTAAATTGTTGAAGTAGAGGATGTGTTGCAGAATTTTTGTGAAATGTCAATGCGTTGATCCCAAAGTTCTTTATTGTCTAACATACTAATTAAGGGTTGTCTTGTTGTCATATAAGTATATAACCTTATCCGCATGCCCAATCAACGATCCAGGTGCTTCAGTTTCGTTGAAGTATATGTCAATAACAGGATTAAGCAAACTTATGAACACTTGCCTCTTCTGTAATTCGACATCCACTCTGAGATTGAGGTGTTGGTGACCTAAGAAGCCTAGAAATACATCAACAACGTTGAACTAATCAGTTTTAATCTATAAAATGGATAAATTCTACGTCGAAATCCAAGCTAATTAGTTTTAGGCTTAAATGGATAAATTCTAAAGCGGAAATCTAAACTAATCTCGGTGTCAGTAAAACCTACAACAACTACCAATGAGGATATGTAGTTGGTGGAATTTGGCCTTATCGTAGGTTTACATAAAGAATTCTTACTACTCAAACTCTGCCACTCGAGCAGCAGAGCTAATCATGGTATTGTATTGTTCATTAACCTCATAAATGCCAGTACATACAGAATTCTGTTATGCCAATATTCCACAAACTCTAACAGTTCTTGAGCACATCTCGTAAAACAACGGACCTTCCATAGCATAGGCTTATCGTACGGACCTCCACAACAGCAGAGCCAAATCATTTCCACAGTGAAAAACACATTGACAAGTGAAAGAACAAGAAGAGACTACACCAAAAAGTTGAAAATAGACAGGATCATCTAAAGATTTTGATAATTTCAAATAGAAACTTCACACTAAAGTGAGATTGTGACTTGTGAGCCTAATCATGAACTAATCTTACAAAACACATAGAACAGTAAAAGTAAAAAATATAAAGTGCTAGGGTTTAGAACAGAGAAACAGAGTTGCTAGCAATAACTTTTTTTTTTTTGTCAACAGTTGCTAGCAATAACTAGAGTTGGTGAATTAAAGAACTAATCTTCGAGGACGAAACTTGAGCTCCGAAATGAAACGAGAGATAGCCTTGTTATACTCAATAAGAACAATTCAAGAGTTTTTTTTTTTCTTCTCTCTTTTAAATTAAAACGAGAGTTGAAATCAATATTCAACAAAAGGAGAAGATTTTGTCACTAACCCAATCAGATTTTACCCGGCTCAATCAATTATGTGGAATGTTTTCCTTTTTTTGAATCCGAAAAACTAGACGAATTTATTTTATTAATCAGGATATATATATGTCTTTTGTTGATTTCAGAAGTATTTTTTATTGTAAAGAAATATGTTGGTAAATGCGTAAAAGATGTTGGTCCATTGTATTTTTTTAAAAGGATTTTTTTTAATAAGAAAGTGTGAAATGCACGCCAACTAAAAACTCTAAACAAAAAGAACAGAAAAAATGATAATGCAAAACAAATGCATGAGAAAAAGAGACAAAATGATATGGCCCGTAGGCCATAGCCATTTACTAATAAAGTTTTGCAATGAAAAAAAAGTAGCCACTCCGATCCATTAAGTCGCAATTCTCTCAATTCAAAACCCAAAGCTAGCCATTTGCTGACCAAAGTTTTGCTCTAGAAATTAAGTCGAACGCATAGCCATTTACCAAGAAACTGAAAATCAAAAAAGAAGCCACTCCACTAAGTCTCGTTTCTCTAAAAATTACATGCACAACGAAAAATGTAGAGATGTAGTTGGAGCCCTAGTCCCTAGAAAGATGAAAATATAATTCTTTATGGAAACTTTAATTGGTTCCTCCACCTCAGAACATATGAATAGAAAGTGATGGATTGGGTTGTAGATGCGTTTCCAGCTAAATATCTGTGGATTTAGTGGTTGGTTTCAAATCGATTCATAGAAAACTAGTTATGTTCATAATAAGTTAGATCAGTCAAAGCTATCTTAGCTCCAACATATTTAACCTATATTGTTAAAGGAGTGAGTCGGACCTAGCCTAAGAAATCAAGACTTTTAATTAATCTATATAAGACCAAAGATGGCAGTGTTGGATTATTAGTCCATTCCGTGACAGCATTTTTAGTTCTCATACCACAAGTAGATAGAAACGAGGGTTGTATATTCAAATTCAAAACCGGACGAACACTTAGTAGAACTATATTCCTGTGTTTTTTCTTTGATATTAATGTCATTCTGAAAGTTTTATAAATTTGCTTGAAGAAAATTAAAAGTAAAAGATTGAGAAAAATAAAGTAGCTAGCATTCTCCAAATCAACTGTCTTTGGCTTTTCTTTTTCACTTTAGGCGAGCAAAGTTGATGGGGGAGGGCCTCCTCTTTGTTCTTCTCATATCTTAGGCATCTCAATGATCTAAAACCAAAGCAAAACCGAATAAACTAAAAAGAGAGCCCATGAAATTGCTAAAGATGGGATAGATTTGTTTCAGATTTTCTCTAATAAATTAATAAACCAACTTAAGGGATTCTTTATCACACTTTTCCACGCCAAGTATTTTCGAAGTTCAAACCCTTATTGCTATCATATGGAAGAGATATGTATTCTTGCTATTTAATTTGTCAACAATGGTCAACTATAATTCTATAACCCACAAAATGAATTTATTCACCATACCAGAGTTACTTTATCCAATTTAGATATTTTTTTCTTACAAAATAGTAATAGTTTCTTTTTAGATCATATACCACAATGATCTGCTTCCCTAGTTTATCTAGTAAATCTGATGAGTCATTTTCAAAGAGAAACATTTTAAAAAAATAGAAAAGGTGAAAAATAATCGTAAAGGGGAGATTACGAAATAATTCGATAATAATTGTAGATTGGCATGTACGATGGTGTGAAAACTTCGAGGAGTATGAAACATTGGGTACAGAAACAGAATCCTTGACAGAGAAGTTATTAATTTCTTTCTTCTAAGACAACAAAAAAACAAAAGTAGCTGCATGCACAATTACCAAAGATTCTAGTTACTTTAGAGTTTGGTTTGTACTGGTTTAGTGGTTGGACAAAGACATTGCATGGCATGCCCTCTTAAATCTGATGGATTAGATTTTGATTTTTTAGTTAATTGAACATAAAACGTTAGAATGACATAAAGGTACGATGTTATTCAGGGTAATTATATGATTTATAGTTAGTACATAAATTCCACCCGGAAAAAAAAAATCGATACATGTGTTCGACTAAAAGATAAGACAGATGGAAAATTAATACATTAAAAATAAAGTAATATTTGATATCAGGGTCATGTGATATTGTGTGTTTCTTAATTTTCTACTAGATAACAACCTGCATTATGTGCGGGATAAAACGATTATTAACAAATTTTAATGTATTGATGATATTAAAAGTGTTCGATTGTTATATTATTAAACAAACGGTGGTGTATTAATGATTATCAAGTAGTGAAATTTTCATATATATATATTAATGTTTATGTTTATAATAATTTATGATATATATATCCTGATATATTAATCAATATACAAAATATTAGGTATTCCATTTTGTATAGATTTTTATATCTTAATTACATATTTTAGTTTAATTTTCGTTTTAATTAATTGAGTAAAATAAAAACATAAATTAAGTGGAAAAAATAAATAAAAGTAAAACTAATGGTAAAATCTGTAAATATCTTAATTAATGTTGGGTTTTAATTAAATGGATTGAGAAACTCTATGAAAACGACACGTCAGCATGGCATTTTTGTTAATCACA